TTCTAATCAATTCACAACTGGAAAGAGCCCATTCCAGTCAGTGCAGTGCAGTACAGTGCTCACCAATAAAAAACTATAAATATGTAAATCAACAAATGATACCCTTCCCTATAACCAGAAACTCATCACGCGCTAGGCAACCACTGTGAGTGTCTCGAGAGAATGTAACTGGATTATTACGCTGACTTCAGGATTTTTTCAGATTAAAATAGAAAATATTTGTCTCTTTAGATTAATAAAAAAAACATGGAAACGTCTTTAAAAACTGGCTTTGCCCAAATTTTCTCTTGCTGCCCAAAAAATCTGAGTCGCCCAAAATTTTGGGGGGCTGCAGCCCCCCTCGCCCCCCCGGCCCGTACGCCTATGAGCGTTTCCTATCGAGTGACGAGTATTGCGTGAAAGCGACGAACGAAGAAAAGAAAGAGAAATATCATGGCGCGTTTTATAGAATCGTGGGGTTTGCGGGGAAGCGTTTCCTTTTTCCCCCTCCACCTACCCCTTCATTCCTCTTTTCATGGTTGCTCTCTCTCTCCAACTTTCGGCCAAAAACTCGATCGCAACGTTTTGCTAGCCTGTATACTGTACAGCCGCCGCTTGCTACGTAGCCTGTTCGGCCCATTACATGTTTCTGGGAAACTGCCCACCTACCCCTCCCCTAAACCAACATCAACACTTACTTCTCACTTAGGGCAAAAATGTTGGCTTAGGGGAGGAGTAGGTAGAAACATATAAATTGTTCGGCTGGAACAGGCCACTTGCTACAACCTCGTCCCCAGGTCGATTTTTCCTGGCTTTGGAGGTGGGCGCCCCGCTTCCAAAGCCAGGGAAAAGCAACCTGGGGACGAGGTTGTACTTGCTATGCAGACCATGAACCGACAATTACGGATCGGGGGAGGGAGGGGAGGGGGTACTCCACCAATATTTGGGTATAGGTGAGTCACTTACGGTTTTTTGAAACCCTGACCCTGGTTAGGAAAAAAAATTCCTAAAATGCAAACCCTGCAGTAGGACAACACCCTCAATTTTATTACCCTGTTTAGAACAAAGAACAAAATGCAGGCCATATTGTTTTAAAGTCATTTAAGAGCAAATTCACTTTATAGTCATTGCTCTTGCATACTTGGAGTACAAACAAAATTTACGTAACCAATCAAATCAATCGTTCAGGTAATATCCTTTTGATGGACTCACACGAAATTATAAATCCTGCTTAGGACAGGAAGGTCAAAAACCATACCCGGTCCAGCGGCACATCCCCGTGTTTCCCCAATTTCCCGCAGCATTTCTATCAATGTAGAGATATACAGTAGTGTTTAAGATACGGATGGAAAAGTGGTTACACCCTACACTCAAGTTTGCATTCGCGGCATTCTCCATCTTTTCCCGGAAGAGAAAAGAGAGAGAATGAGCCGCGGACCGAAGATCATTTTTTGAGCTAATAAAAAATACGAGAGAGGATAAAGGCATTATTTATGACTGCTTCTACTCGGCTGGGACATGTAAAAGGAGAATTTCTCTGGTGGTTGGTTCTGTTTTGTTTGTTTGATTTGTTTTTTCCTTTTACTCCAACTGAAATAATTCTCGCAAGCGTGGTTGTTTTCTTTAGAAACGCTGGAAGATGTTCTTTCACCAGTGAATACGAAGTCAGTAATTAAAGAAAACTCTTTAAATATATAAACCTGCTGGAGCTAGTTGTTAATATTTGATACTACAAGTAAACATAACTTTTGTGGGTGCTCTTTTTACATTGGTCGTTTCACTTGATACCAGTATATATCTCTTGGAGAATAAGCTCTTAAGATTTTTGTTGCAACTGAAATTACTGGCTGCTTCTACATAAACCTTGACCTATTCTTGGTTTGCAACCACGTGACAAGTCGGCCACGTTGGGGGTCAAAACAAAAGAATATTTCCTCGAAGAATTTACATGAAAATAGAGTTTAGTTCCCAGAGGAGAGAAATGCTTTTGTTCTTGACCACCAACATGGCCGCCGTGACGTCACGTGCTAACCAGCAATTGCTGATGATACTGAACATGAATCCAAGTTGTTTTTTTCTGTCTCGATTGCTAATACTTAGAGATAGACCAACAGAGAACTCTTCAGCGGATTTAAAAATCTTGAGTACCTACCCTTTATGATACCGCCCACAAATTCTATTGGTGATCTGTCTTACTTGAAATAAAATCAACAGAGAACCCTTTTAAAAATACATTGGAACCTCTATGTGCGAAAGTCCCTCGTAAGCGACCACCTCCCATAAGCGACGACCCATCCAAAACAACAAAAGTTTACCAGTCAAAACGCTATAGCTTAAACCTCTCTTAACGACCAGTTGTCGTAAGCGACCCGGCGCGATATCGATCGCTTTAGGGGATGGCAGTTTTTAATTATGTCCATCAGTGCTTTGAACCCCTTGTAAGCTTGACAAATGGTTTCGTCTCTATGTTCACTGTGTGTACCACGCTACTCGAGTATGCGAAGAACTATTTAGACTTTTAATGACTACATCGACTACACATACCATAACTTAGAAATTGCCCGCAACAAATTCTCCTCTAGGAAGCAGATCATGTTTCCGAACCACTCCTCGAAAAAGACCCTCTGTGGTTCAACTCTCGTAAGCGACCACTCTTCGCTTTGTGTATGGTCGTTTCAGGGAGGTTAGACTGTACAACCTTAACCTATTTGATTGTGATACTGAAAACAAGTTCTGTTGGTGGTGTTTCTAGAAGGCTATTACTAAGTCTTAGACCAGGGTGAGGGAAAGAGAAAGGGAAAACGCCTGCCGGCTAAGCTTATGACATTATCAAACACCCCTCAAATTGGTTGCGCTTGATCGCATTTCTTAAAATGTTTAAACAGCCAATGAAAATCCTTTCTACAGAGAGCTAGAAATTGTCTTCCGAAGTCAACAACATTGACAGCTGTATTTTACAAGTTTTGGTGAATGTAACTAGCGATACAAAACACGTCAAAAAAAAAAACGAACAAAAAAAAAAGGAAAAGAAAAGAAAAGAAAAGAAACACACGTCCTAGTAAGGATTGGTATATGTTACTTTTAAGTGAAGTTATGGAGCTTCACCGGTGAACAATTTTACTTCCCGAAAGATCTGTTTAAACAGTCGCAGTAGATAGACTCGTCTGCAAATGTGCTTGCAGACGTTTGCCGTCAAGTAGCACTGATATAGAGGTTTACTCGGTTCACGTCTTCAACCCACGTCGTCCCAAAATTGTCATTCTTGGCCATTTGTTCAAGGTTATCAACCCCACAACTTTACCAACAGTGGGTTGGTATATTTGAAAATAGCACCAAAGGTCAGCTTGCAGCTCAGGAGATGCCTTGCACCCAGACGCTTCTCGGGATCTTCAGCGGTAGTCGCGGCGCAACAGGTCATGCAAAGGACTTAAAAATAACAAGCACCGCATTCCTTTTCACGTTGAGTCTTCCCTTGTGCTTTGCGTTTTTGAAGCTTCTCATGATCTTCGCGTCGCGACCACCGTCAAAAATCTCAAGAAGCACGTAAATTAAGCGCAGATTCTCCTCGCGGAAGGACCGAAAAAACAATTCAAAGAGCTCTCCAACCTCTAGTTTGTTGATGTCTTCACCCAAGTTTCTTGACAGTGCTTTTACAAGTTCTCTTTTATACAGTGGCAAAAGCTCACTCAGCTGATAAGCTAACGACTGAAGCATTATCTTAGGATTTCTGGGACGCGCCTTGTTGTGCTGACAAAAGTGACTTCCCGACAGTCGACCAGCATGTCGCATTCTTTGACAAACGACAGCGGAAATCACCGATTTGCCCATTCCTGCATCTCCACTGATTACCATCACACGATTTTCAGAAGCACGGTCGTCTAGCCACAATGTGATGATCTCAAAGATGCACAAGCGCGTTCCCTCCTGGTACTTCCCAGAGTGATACTGGATGACTCTCTCTGTATTAACTTTTGCCAGTTTTCTCAGTGCTTCATCTTCATTACCTTTATCTCTTTTTTCTTTAGCGTCTGCAGCTCTATCCCTGAAAAAAAAAATTACCCATTTTATCAACGGGGCCCGCCTTGAGGCAGCCCGGTTAAAAATACCGCTTAAAAAAGAGGGGGGCTTGTTTAATTTAGCGAAACGCATCAACGGGAGCAAGGTTTCTCGAGGACGGACTTGTGGTTCCGGGGGGTTATAATGCTTTTTCTAGCAATAAGACGATAGTAACAATTCTCCACAGAGAACTAGAGTTGAAAACGTTAAGCACGTGAAGTTGGAGGTCATGCTACAGAAGAGTGAGAAAACCAAAAACAAAATGAATTTCCAGCCTGAATAAACCATAACTGATCAATCCACGTTAATTGTTTGTGAAAATAAGGACGGAGGAAAGGGTGGATGGGGGGCTTAATAGAGAGGAGGGGCTTATTCACTTTCCTCCTCTGAAAGGGGGGGCTTAATAGAGGATTTACGGTATTCTAAAAGAACTTGATAGAATCTAAGATTGCCAATTCAAGCTCATAAGGAAAAAATGTTCAACTTAGCAACTGGATTTGGGAAGCTTTGTAATAAGCTTTGAACACTTACTGTTATCGTAATCACACTACGATCTGAACATCAGATTAATTTTTGTGGAAAACGAATCATTAGAGACCCTCAGATGCGAGGACGAGATTTCACGTAAAGTTTTTTTGCATATCCTCAAAAAATATACACCCCGGAAAAATTTATTGTACCTCTTTTTTCACCAGAGGAGAAGTTAACATGGTTAAATTGATTAAACTTCTAATATTTCATGACTTGTGTTTCCGTCACTATGATATTCTCGCAGAAACTCGTAGTAGAAATATGACGGCTAACACGTTTTCTCGCCAAAATGACGCTGATTTACGCGTCAGCACTACTTAGTGTTGAGACAATCTCGTACTCGAAGTTGTCCTTGTCTTACAATCTTTAGGTCGCCATTGACAATCCGTGACCTAGTATCTTAAAGCGGACTCAAACGGGAGCCTCATGGCCAATTAATTAGGCTCCACAAGATTCAAACATCTCATGACGTCATAGTTCACTTCTGCCTTTCCTATTTTTGTCAGTGAGATCATGAGTTTTCTAATAGTGCTATTCCTTCCGTTAAGCTGACACCATGTTCGCAATGTTTCATGGCAGCGTTCTTCGTCATCTTGTTCCTCCTCTGATATGTTGTCAATTTGCCCGGCTCTGAGCTCGAGCTCTCTTGCAAGTCTTTTCCACGATGAACACACTTTTTCTGACACCTTGTTGATCACTTCACTCCCTTCTACTAAAGCTATGTTAACCTTTTGACGTGCTATCGAGAAAAGAATAACATATGATTAATTAGGAATTACTGGATTCGGCTATCTTATATTCTGAAGAATTATGCACATCAAGGGGGGCGGTACTCCTTCCCTCCCCCTCCCCCCCAGATACACCTTAGCTAGACTTAATTTGCCTGCTCCTCGGTAAGTTAAGGATAAAAAGAGATTTTTTGTATAGTGACAACAGCCGAATTGTATATTTTCACGTTTTGCTATATTTCAGACGGACAGTCGGCTTTTTTGCGCAAAACGTGTGAAATATTCAAATATTCCAAGTCTGTCCGAAACAGTTATGCAAATACAATCTTTACTTTACTTTATTGAATTCGCCAGGGTGACTCAACACGGTGACAGGGGATGAAACAGGACTTACATCCGAATTGATATCAACCACTTCGTTACGCACCCAGCCCTTAACAGGTTGTACCACACCACCGGGCTCTACGCCCCCTATTCTTTACGAACAGCAGAGTGGGTTCTTCTACGTCCCACAAGAATCTTCGGTTTTTCGTCCTTATCTGAGAAGACCACAGGCTTCTTGGTTGCCGTACATACATTTCCTGGAGAAAGGTAGCCTGCATTCTATGGAAGCGTCTGGTACACGTGAGCGGAAGTAATATTTTTCCCGACAAGCATCAATGCCAGATACCACGATGGCGACAGCTTCGAAACCTTTATAGAAGTTACGTTTTGCAAAACATGTTACCTTCCTGAAGACGTTCAATAACATGTAAAAATCCTTCATTGCTCGCCTCTCGAAGTGCACTCACAACGGCTTCAAAACATTCATCTTGGCTGTTAGGATCCAACCCTGCTACAAACTGCAAAAGACTCATTAGTGCTTGTTTGGGTGCCCTATAGCCACTGTTGAGGTGGTTGACGAGTTCTTCGTATGTATCATGAGATAAAAACGGTCTGCACGCTGAAAGTACATAGTTCGGATCAGCATCCAATAGCGTTTGGTCATTTAGAGGCACGCCGAAAAATTCTACTGGAGTTTTCTGCAAAGTAAATAAAAAAAAGAAGAGAGGTCAAGGCACGAACACCATCACTGAATGACAGAAAAGCTATTTCACAATTTAATAGCCTGCGAACAAGCCCTATCGTGAGAAGTCACCCGCAAGCAGCACGCGAGAGGACACTTCCTTCGCGTTCACAAGCGTCTCGTTTCGCTCGCCACTCGAAATAGAGTTCTTGCTGGCAGGCTAACAATTTTAAGATAGACGCAGCGCTTCATATTCTTTTCCTTTATGCAATCTCATGGATGGGAAATTCTATGACGTTTTTACTACAGTGTAATGGGACGGTTTTGGTGGTAAGTTGAGAGGAGATGGAGAGGTTGAATCGTTCGTGTGTTTAACATCTACAACGTTGGAATACAGTCAACTCTCTCTACGACGGACACATTTGGGACCGGCACTAAGTGTCCGTCTTAGAGAGATGTCCGTCTTATAGAGAGTCAAATAAAGGGAGTAAAGAAAGGCAGGGACCAACTCTAGGTGTCCGTTTTACAGAGGTGTCCGTTAAGAGAGAGTCGACTGTATACCGATCAATTATGATACTAACCTAAAAAGATTAAGCCTTTAAATTGAATGCTTATCTTAAACCCAGTTCAGTGAGCATAATTACTCCCAGGACCCTGTGTCTTGAGATGTAATACAATAATTGAGATGTGTCGCATAAAGCTGTAAATGGCCTGATAAATAAGGAAAACAAGGGGTACGCTGCGTTTTTGTGTGTAGTACTCACCGTGAGATCAAGTTTCATTGAAGACAATCTAAAGTTCAATCTGGACAATAGGTTCTTCGCGTTGGGATCTGGGCTACTGCGAAACTCCACATGGGATAAAACTTGGTCATTTATCAAACGAACTGGCAGTTGCTTTTTGTCACGGTTATCGCTCTCAAACCTGAAAGGATATGTATATGAAGTAAAATAAGTTTATCCCACTGATGCACAATTGAGCCTTAATTTCAAGAGGCGTTGGTGTTTTTTCTTTCAAGATGTGTAGAAATTCTCGGGTGCTTATGGGTCAAAAGCGTAACAGCAATTGAAACTAAAAATATTTGAATGCTGTCTCTCCTTTCGTTAGTTAAATGTGCATGACTTCAGACGCCGCGCTTAACTACTAGTTTTAGTGTTATTTTGAAAACAAGTACATATAGTTTGCCATTATGGACACAAAGTACAAAATAACTTGCAACGAAACCTTTTCGTCCATTTGTGACACAATCTAAAGTCAATAATGGTGCATTATGTTTGCACTTCAAACCCCGTGCCTTCATTCAAAATATTAAGTCACTAAGCGATAACAATACTGAAATAAAGACGCCGTTAAGCTGGACAAGTTTTCGTGCGAGACACTCGGAAAAGCACACCCTGCTACGAGGACTCGCTGCAAAAAATCCGTAGCGAGACATGTTCATTTCGGGAGAAATTAGACTAATTAGGGGGGTTGTGGAAAGGCGTTTTTGAGCGACCCACGTCAACCGGAAGTGGACGTTTTGCAGTCTTGGGTAGTGGTTTTGCCCAGGTTTTCGGGAAAATCGTCTCTAAAGGAGTAAAGACACTTGGCAATACAAAGTTTTGTACCGTCAAGGCATATTCCAAAGGAAAACGGCCTGACTTCCGGTTGACCTACGTCGCTCAAAAACCTGCCTTGTGTAGCAGCGGCCGTACATACATGAGATGGAAATCTTCCATGTCTTCTATTTCAGCTGGGGTTATTCCTCCTGATACAAAGACGAATGCTTTGTCATACCCCGGTATCAGCTTTTTCCGTGAATTTTCCTCACTTGGAACCACGTTTGCGTTTTCTAGCTCTTGGACTACTCTTTCTCTCATGTGCGCTGGGCAGCATATAAGATGGAGAACATCTTGAGAATAAGCACGATCTAATTCATTGAAATAGGAGAAGAAAACGCCAAGTAATGGCTGCTTCCAAATAAGGCTTGTCAAGTATGTTATTACTCCAGAAAGGCTGAAGTCCTCTTTGTACCATTCAAAAACGCAAGTGTATCTAAAAGAGACATAGAGCGGAATTTGAATTACTTTTGCAGACAGAATGATTTTGACTTTGAATTGCACAGCTAAAAGACGCTAGTTGATATCTCCATTACTTAAATACCACTTTAAAACTATGGGGATACACTAAGGCGGTTAATCAGTTGACTCAAACTTAATTTAGCGAGAGAAAAACATTACTAAGTAGTACACACAAAACTACAAACTAAAAGCACACATTAGCTTTACAGTATAAAAGCTATGCAAAAAATAAGTATTATCAGAATTTAAAAAGGTTAAAAAGAGTAACAATAAGCTAATAGTAGCTCATAGTAGCTTAGTATTCCAACAGTTTCAATGTATGCTAACTTGCATTAGCATAACCAAAAGTTCAGTTTACCTACAATTCATTAACAACAAAACAAGTACAACATTTGGATGTCTTCTTACCCAGAGAAGCGTTCTACCTGGAACCTAACAAATGTCCCGTCAAAATGTACAGGACAGTTAAGACCATCTGTGATTTCCATCCATTTTTTTTCTTTGTCAACAGAATTTAAGAACAATACTCTGACACGGCATGTCGAGGGGACTGGAATCTTTTCCTGGTCGCTGCGAAGAGACACTGTCAACTGAATTGTGACGGGCTTCGAGAATTCGACGATTTGGGAACCGCTGACCCGCAGTATTGGTCCAAGAAACACGTCTTGGTCTTTAAATTCTTCACCTGGAACTTCTTGCACCTAAAGGGATAATAAAAAACACACCTAAATTAACCTGAACTTACTGTCAGATTTGCTGCCATTTTTTCGAGTTTTAGAGGAAAAAAGAGACCATTTTCGCAAGGAACACCATATCCGGTGGAGACTATAGCAAAACCTTATCTATCTGACAACGCAATAGTCTCCATAGGACAAAAATACTTTTTATGAGCCTAATTTCACTCATCTAACGTCTGCTGTATTCTTACATTTCTGTCGAGTTTGGAGACCTGGCAAGAGTTATCCTTAGAAACATTAACTGGTCATGTCACCACAGCAAGAAAAGATCTCGAGATAATTCACACCGTCCTACCTTCAATACCAGAGGAATCTTTGCTTCAGGTGTCACAGCATTCTCAGGGATTGTAACTGTCACGCGTGGATAGTCAGGATGGCTAAAGGAGCCACCAGTAGATGTGATGGTGTACGCTGGAGAAGGCTTGAGACGACAAACAACTGCGTATGTTGAGCACTCAGTTATGTCAGCTTGAGCAACGGGAAAGAAAATTTCCGGTACATCCCGCGGGTGAGGCGGGAAGTCCTCTTCGACCGCTGTAAACAATTCAGAGTGGAAAGACTATAAGCCATTGTGACTTCTGTAAATATACAAACTGCGCGCAGTAAACGTAAAACATGGAACAGACAGCATTTCACAGGTGAAGACATACTTTAAACAGTGGGTAAATACTATGGGTAGGCTGCTCTTCAAAAAGCATCAGTTTCCAAACCTTTAAGACACTGTAATGCCTTAGTTCCATCCACCTCTTCCCATTCATTGCTTTTCCAATCGATCAGCTTCTTTATCACTAGTTCGTAGCCCTGCAAATCAGGCGCACCGTGAGAAAGAACAAGCTTCGCTTTGGCGTCGAATTTCAGTTCATCGCCAGTTTTGGTTGATATCTCAATAACATTACTGACAACTGACTCGTGCTCTTGCAGTGGGGGAGAACGTGCACTGCATTTCCACCTGTGGGCCACTATTGATGTGGGTTGAGACACGGCGTTAGGGGGAAAGAAAACGTGGGTGCTCCCTCGTTTAAGGGCCCAATGGGTACCTTCACTGGTGATTGTTCCTCTGAAATAAATTATTAAAACATTAGTTAATCGAAACCCGTTTAAAATAATCGTATACCAGGCAAGCCACGCGCGGTATTGAGGTTGTGCGATATCCAGTTTCCAGCACAGGATTGTGCCCGCAAAATAATCTTATTCCCGTAAAAGACTCCAAAAGTGTTCACTTGATCTAGGTTCGTTTTCACTGAGGCTTCTGTCAGCTTAAATTCAGGGTGTCAATGATATCCATGATATTAACGGTATACAAGATATTTTAGAGGTACAGTATGGTATTTTATAATTTAATTAGCAATTATTTAATGAGGCTGAGTAAGATGTGAAGAATTATGCAAATCGGGGAAATCTTATCCCTGAGGTGGATAACAGTCTCTGAAATCTGCACAATTCTTCACATCATATACGAAAGCCGAACTCATCCTCGTAGTACAGTTAAGAAGAATTAGCTTGGGGCTTTGGGCCAATCAGAGACGGCGAAAACTTTGAATGATTAATAGCTGTTTATAAAATATTATTATTTACATTATTATTTACCCGTCGCTCTCCCCCCAGAAAAGAACGCCTGCTCGTAGATTCTACCCCCCTCCCCGCGCTCGCTTTTTTTGCCAATGTGTTCCTACGGTTGAATAAAACGCTTTAGTATACATACTTGTGTATTTTTATTTTATCTGAGTCTGATTCATCCAAGTCTTCCACCCGTCCCTCTAGGCTAAGTTCTTGAATTTGCTGTAGCAATTCTTGTTCTTCGGTAATCTCATCTCCTCCGCCATTATCATCACCAACATCATCGCCACCAACCTCAACGTCATCACTGTTATGATTATCGTCGTTATCATGGAACTCATCACCTTTATCGTCTTTGTTCTCATCATCTTCTTTCTTACTTTGAAAGTCGTCATCATCGTCGTCAGAAGATCGCTCTGTTGAAACGAGATGTGACATTACTGTTGCCAAACTTATGAATTTTTTCTTTAAAATTTCGAAGTATACGTCTTTTATTTCAAGCGTGTGTGTGTAGCAATGTTGATCGCTGGAATCATATATCAAAATCAGGGTTCTCCAGGAATTTAAAGTAGGAGAAGAAAAAATTTAATTAGGGGGCAATAGTTTAGATCGAATGGCTCGGTGACGCCGCTGCCTGTGGGGTCAGGTATAAGGGATGGGGCTCGCCCTGCTTCCATTGGGATCAAGACTAATGATCTGACATCTTATCGAATTTTTTTTAAGATGTGAATAAACTTAGCAATGCTTATGCTCAAATTAGGTGAAAAACAAATGTATTGCTTACCTTTTGACTCTCGGTTGTCTTTGTCTCGCGGCATTCTTACTTTAATAAATGCGCATATACGTTTGGACTGCCAAAGACCAATGGCGATCAAACCCTTTTTCGGAAAGGAAGCCAACCACAAAGGCCGGTAATCCATGTCAAGCACACTTAGCAAATCCCCAGTCTTGACACTAAACAACTGAAGACTTAAGCTTTCTGAAATTCGGTGATTCCCGCAATGAATTACGCATTCCGTGTCACTTACAAACGCATAGCTCATAACGTCATCGACTGTGCATAGTATACGGAGAGTGGCTCCTGAAGACGCATCAAGCACGTGCACATCTTGCCAATTTTGAGAGGTTTTTGCCGAGATTAGGACAAACTCTTCCGCTGGAGAAAATATTCCGGGTATATTCCAGGAGTACAACAGCTCGGAATCTTCAAAAACTCTTTTCCATAGTATACTTGTGCTATCAGACAGTTGGACGGAGTGCCTATCGGTGGATAACAGCTGATATTTACTGTTACATACTATGGCTTCTTTATCCAACAATGGATATGTTGACTGGTATCCCTCATGACAAAGTGAGATGGTCTTCACTATTTCTCCACTTGATGTGTCCAGGATGCTCACTTCAAATTCTTTCCCCACACATGCTACACATTGGTCTGTAACTGGCATCATATACGTAACCTCACTCAACCTGGGCCAACTTTGGACTTGTTGAGACAACTCAAAATTCCATAGCTGAAGCGCAGTCCTACGATAACGTTGTTTCACAAGGACACCATCGGTCACTGGTACAAGACAAATACCATTGTCAGAAACGTTTACGGCCCTAAAAGGCGGTTTAGGATAATGGAGATCACGACAAGTACTAATCTGCATCTTTGATTTCAGTTTTCCGCTTAATACATCAAAAGATACCACTGCTGCTTCCTTGTCTACAGTGACACCATAAACGGACTTCCCATCTACAGCAAAAGCAACATGACGGAGTCTTCTATAGGACGTGGTTGTTGCAATTTTCATTTCACCAGGATTGAACATGGCAATGCGGTTGTTTCCTGGGAATACCCTCAACACACTTTGTTTGCTTAAGACAAACGCAAACGCCCCCTCTACAAGAGTCCAGTACGGTCCCAAAATGTCCTGGAAACGCCTGAACAAACATGACACAGGATCTCCCATCAAAAATCCAGCTTTGCTGGATGATTCATAATCCCAAGGTTCATAGTCAACGTTATCGTTAGCAACGTTAAAGGAAAATGTGCCACAAGTTAATTTCATAATGTCTAAGCGAATGCCTTTTGGGTATCTCTCCCACATAGACTTTACTGGTTTACACCAACAAAACAGGAATTTGAGGTTAGGGGCAAACTTGATCATTCCACATGGTAAAAAAGTGGTGACCTCTGCAAGTGTCTCAAAGCAGTTCAACGCATCAACCAAACAAACTAATCCCGAAAGATGAGAAATTGCCAGTAGCTTTCGATCTGGAGACCAGGCAAAAGACAAAACAGCCTCACCTCTGTTGCTCCGAGTGATCTCATCACCGGTTTCTAGACTCCACATGACTAAGCATTTTGCATCTTTAGGGCAATCGGTAATCATGCTATCCGCATTAACTGAACACACCGAAAATCTGCAGTTACTCTTAGAGAACAGTGGTAAGAAATCTCCGTCAAATGAGTAGGCATGGCTAAGGACTCCAGGAAGAACAATAGGTTTAGTAGGGTGAAAAACAACAGAGCGATAGCACGACAAAACGGGTGAGTTTAGCACCTCTCTAAATGCGCCATGACCATCAAAGTAAAGTTTTTCTACTATGACTGGACATTTCCACTTTTGGTTCCCTGTTTCTAGTGACCATAGCTGAATCGTCCCATCCCTACATTCACACACCATGAACTCCTGTTGAGGGGAGATATCAAAGCAGGCCACCTGAGAGGAGCAGGGAAACGGAACTTGGATCCCCATCTGCTTCTCATCGGCCCCCTTGTGAACGTACTCCATGTAAGGTATTTCATGATATCTGTTCTGTAAAAGTTCTGTTGCTTTACCAGCAAAAACGTCTCCTCCCTCGTTCACCATCACTTGCAAAAAAACAGTAGGATTCGTCGAAAGTCTTTCGTGGTACTTTCTTAATAGAAATAACAACGTGCGAAGAGCGTCTTGGCTCTCACTGTTCAATAACTGAAAGGCTTCTTGTTTCTGACAGAGGATAATGTCCTCAGAACTAGCCGTGTCGTTTACACAAAGCTTTGCATACACAATGTCTAAGTCGGTAACATAGTTGTTAACGATTTCTTCAAAGCTTCTGGTACCTTCTTCCAGCTTTTCCGACTCAACCATATGACAAACACCATGCTGTAGGGCGTACCTCGCAATGTCACCGAATTCTGTACCGTGAACGCCTTTTCTTTTTACGTTACTCAGTTCATCAGTACAGAGCTGAGAAAGCATGACATGACCTTGCTTTTCATCCACAGAGAAGTCGTGTCGCCCATAGGCAGTTCTGTCAGTCAACCAGTCCTTAACTGACTTGTGGAAGAACACAATGCAGTCATCATGAACAGGTAGAAGGGTTGAGATAGAGTCGATAGCCTTTCTTACTTTCCGATGACCGGATGGGGACTTCGAGTCCGAAATCAACATGTTAGAAACAAAGTCTTGAGGAAGCGGTTCTCTTGCAGCCGCCAGAGCGCTTAGAAAAGTCAAAAACTGGTCCTCACCAATTTTCAATTCGTTCTCTAAACGTTCAAAGTAGGACTGATAAACAGACGATACACCTGAAGGTAAGATTCTTCCTAACTCCTTATCGGGGGTAAGAAGTAAATTGTTTTTCTTGATAAAATCGACCATCAAATAAGCATATAAAAAATGCCCTGCAGCCTTTCGGACCAGTGCATCGATAACGACCTCTTTACAGCCCGATTGAATAACGCTGCACAGCTGTCTTTCAAGAAAGAGTCTGATGTCTTCTACATTTTCTTCATCATCTTGCTCCAGGAGAACAGGGTTGAACTTTTTAAGACGGTCTGCGATATTTATTTCCGGGCGAGTTGTAACACAAAATCGAACCCAACCAGGAAGTGTACTAAACTGATTAGCCATGACATCAAGCAGCTCATTGCGTCCTTTGTATTCACTTTCATCCAGGCCATCAATCACCATGAGCAAGCTTCTTCCCGGTTCATCCACATTTATTAAAGGCTCCTCGAACAGCAATTCAAAGAGCTCTCCAACCTCTAGGTTGTTGATATCTTCACCCAAATTTCTTGACAGTGCTTTTACAAGTTCTCTTTTATACGGAGGCAAAAACTCACTCAGCTGATAAGCTAACGATTGAAGCATTATCTTAGGATTTCTGTGACGCGCCTTGTTGTGCTGACAAAAATGACTTCCCGTCAGCCGACCAGCATGTCGAATTCTTTGACAAACGACAGCGGATATCACTGATTTGCCCATTCCTGCATCCCCACTGATTACCATGACACGATTTTTAGAAGTACGGTCGTTTAGCCACAACTCGATCTTCTCAAAGACAGAAATGCGGGTTCCCTCTTGATACTTGTCCAAGTGAGTTTGAATCACTTTCTTGGTGTCAAAAACTGCCAGTTTTTTCAGAACTTCATTTTCTTGGTCTTCTTTTCTTGTCTTCCTTGAGCTGCAGTACTTCCTGGATTTTGGCTTGAGATTGACGGATATCCTTAAGCTCTGTTTTTATTTCCAGATCACTGTCAGCCCACTCAAATAAGGCATCGAGATAATCTTCCTCTCCACCACTCTCCACCTTAAGTCTGTCAATTTCAGCTTGATCCAAACCGAGAGAGAGTAGAGCAGCACTTATTTCTTGCCACAGGGAAGAGAAAATTGCCGCATCAAAAGCAGTGGAAGTCACGTGACCATACAACTCATTACGGAAGAACTTAACACGAGCAAGGTTAGCCTCAAGAGAGTTATCACCAGGGGATGGCTTGGTGTGCCATCCTGTCAGGGGAGGGGATAAACCACAAATGTTGGTTAGTAGAAGGAACAGAAGAGTGATGTCAAACGTGTTGGAGTCTGGTACTCCTCCACCAGGGGGAAACAATTTGACCCACTGATACCCATTTAGTACTCTTTTACGCAAAAGGTTGTTAAGTATGGAGTAATTGGAGTTGAGGTCAGAAGCCAAGTTGCCAGGTGGGTGATAGTGATCGAAAATATTCCTCAGCACTGTTGTTCCGCCATCGATGAGAAGCCTTCTCAGCTTGTTTCCATTTGTCTTTTTTGGAGAGCTGGCCAAAGGTGAAGGTGCTGCAGTCGCCATGCTGGTAAAAAACGACAGCTTCAGCAACAGTACATCTGCAACCAGGAATATAATATCTTATTCTATTAGTTGCAAGAATAAATAAATCGGATAGTGTGACAGTTCCTATAGAGTGAAGGGCAACTGTTAACATGACCTCAAGTCATCACTGCAGGGTTGTAATGGCCATGTCATGCTGATGAGCTCAAACAAGGGCAAAACACTTGTCCATGGCTGCCACTGCCCCGGTGAAATGGCTGTGTGCATGCTTATTGGTAAGATATTGGCTAGGCCATAGGTTGGTGCCTGAGTATGTTGATCCCTTGCTCTTAAGGTTGTTCTAATCACATTTTGCTCTCTCCCTGCCCCCTCAGTGACCTCTTTTAGGTCAGGTCTGAGGCATGGTAGAGAAAAACCCATCGCGTAGTTTAAAAAGATTAAGGTTCTGTTTTACAAGACATGCCCCACAATCCCACCCAGGTTTTTCTAGGGATACCCCCACCTCCCTCACTCCCTAGGTAAAATGAAACAAAGTAACATAACAAAAGGAAATAGTGCACTCTGATTGGTCAATTACACATTTACTTTTTGCCCATGGCTGACTGCTAACAAGCTAGTACATGCTCAATTCCCATGAGACTACATTTTTACATCTTGTTTTTACCTCATAGTTTGCAGAGAATTCTTTTATCCTGCTGAGAGAAAAGTTACAGAAGGCATACAGGGGTGTAGCGTAAGGTTTTAAAGGTGTACACATGGAAAGAAAGGTTAGACCTCCGAACATACTGCAAACAAGGGGGGTGTGAGGACATGCTCCCCCAGAAAATTTTTCACATTTAGGGGCTCAGAAATGCCATGTCCTGCGTTTTCCACAGGCCTTTTTTAGTAAATAAATATGAAGGAAAATGCAATAGTTTATTGTTTTTAAACAGTGGTATGGGAAAAAAATGACACCATCAAGAAGGAAGGTAAAGGCAAAGGGCGAGATGTCTACCCTTCAGACAGGTAAATACACTAATATAATGCAAAAGATTAATCAACAATCCTAGTTGAATAATAAAAATGCTTTCAGGGAATAAAAAAAATTTTTTCTCCAGATTTCAGCTGTATGCACAGGCGTATACGTATGTGCATTGGACGCTATACCCCCAGCACTCCTAATCTTTTCAAGGTAACATAAAAAACAGTGTTGAACTCCATACTGAGATGGAAATATACCTATCCAGCGAAAAGATTTTTTTGAAGGAGAAGAGTTTGCAAACTATGATCTGTACAGTCCCATCATTCCTCTAAAAACTGTTGGCAATTTTAAAAGTTTTTCTCTTTTGGTTATGTTACAAAACAGATGGTAAATGGCTCAGCATCCACTATTGAGTTATGGTTACACTCAGGAGGACTATTGCTTAGCACTCAAGAAGCTATAGAGTCACAATCAGCTATCACTTTGGGTGACTCTTGTATTTCATTAATTGTACTTTGCAGCCATAACTCAAAAATACGCTGAGCCATTACCCATTTGTTTAACAGAGAATCACAAGTGTAATGTCCACTCCATTCCGGATTTTCAACTCACGAATGATCATGCTCACTTGTAGTTTTCTGTTTTACTAACATTAAAGCAGCTTTGACACAGCATCTGGTAGCATTTTATTGTTGCAATTTGGAGATACATAATATTATTGAGGTGACTCGAAGTGGGCCAAGTGGACCATATCATGGCCACCTCTTTTTCTGTGTAATTTTGCATTATTTTAAAAGAATTTTTTGGCAAAATTTAAATAGTTTGATCTATATAGCTGGCAAGTGTCCTAGCCACTCTTTTCTGAAATTTCTGGATCTGCCTCGGATAAAGCCTCTGCCAACCATCCGTAAATTTCCCAGGCTTAAGTACTAATTTATGCTCATATTATATTATATATTTATTAAAATCATAAAATTTGGTATGAACAATCATCTCAACTTTAATTTACTGATTCCTTGCAATGAATAACTAGATTATGGAAGCTATAATTTTGCAACACTATTTTGTCACTTAAAACTGTTTTTCAAGCTCTTCTAACTTCAGGAATCTTAACACCCAGGGCCCAGTTCCTGGTAGGCAGATTAGCGCTAAACTAGGATTCAAGTTTTGTTCCATGTATGTTTTTTACTTTCCTATATATTGCTTAGAGTTACATTTTGTGATATCAAATACTGTATCTCGGATTAAAGGCTCAATGGCATTTTGTAAGCTCGAGTTGCACATTTTTTGGAAGACAAGAAAACTGTGCTTAAAATTTAACCATCTTTCGAGGAACCGGGGCCTAAGGTAAGGGTGTTGTTTGGTTATATATACTATATACAGGGCATCTGACAGGATGCGGTGGTGCGGATCCGCATAATTGACCAACTTCCGCATCCTCCGCATCTTGAGGGCATTTTTCCGCACAATACTAAAAAATTGCTCCATATAAGCAAAGGTGGAATTGCTTACCGTCCTCAGAAGCAAAATTAGTGAAGAGATTGATCATTTTGAAGAAATATTTTGCCCAAATCAGCGAGAAAATACTCTGTTTGTTCGTTGCTTGTTCGTACACCACATTTTTTAACCCCCCAGGCGTTCCATGCACTTTCTGGGGTGTCCTGGAAACTAGTTTTTTATAATGCTAATTTCTATTGGATAGATGGCGTTTGTATTTTAGCCAATAGCAGGAACTGATAGAAACTGCGTTTGATACGAGCGCGGGAATGCTCTAATGCCTGGCTGCTAAGCTTAAAATGTTTGGTTATTCTTTCATGTTACGCTTACGCCAAATAGATATATCCTTCATGTAATAGTAATAGATTGTTTATCTCCCTGTATACCCTGTATACCCTGTATACCCTGTATACCCATGTATACCCTGTATACCCTGTATACCCATGTATACCCTGTATACCCTGTATACCCATGTATACCCTGTATACCCTGTATACCCATGTATACCCTGTATACCCTGTATACCCTGTATACCCTGTATACCCTGTATACCCCGTATACTTATGTATACCCTGTATACCCTGTATACCTATGTATACCCTGTATACCCATGTATACCCTTGTATACCCTGTATACCCTGTATACCCATGTATACACTGTATACCCATACATACCCTTGTATACCCTGTATACCCTGTACACCTATGTATACCCTGTATACCCATGTATACCCTGTATACCCTGTATACCCTGTATACCCATGTATACCCTCTATACCCATGTATACCCTGAATACCTATGTATACCCTGTATACCCTGTATACCTATGTATACCCTGTATATCCTGTATACCCTGTATACCCATGTATACCCTGTACACCCATGTATACCCTGTATACCTATGTATACCCTGTATACCGTGTATACCTGTGTATACCCTGTATACACTGTATACCCATGTATACCCTGTATACCAATACATACCCTTGTATACCCTGTATACCCTGTATACCCTGTATACCCTGTATACCTATGTATCCCCCGTATACCCATGTATACCCTGTATACCTATGTATACCCTGTATACCCTGTATACCCATGTATACCCTGTATACACTGTATACCCATGTATAACCTGTATACCCATACATACCCTTGTATACCCTGTATACCCTGTATACCTATGTATACCCTGTATACCCATGTATACCCTGTATACCGTGTATACCTGTGTATACCCTGTATACCCTGTATACCCATGTATACCCTGTATACCCATACATACCCTTGTATACCCTGTATACCCTGTATACCCATGTATACCCTGTATACCCATGTATACCCTGTATACCCATGTATACCCTTGTATACCCTGTATACCCTGTATACCTATGTATACCCTGTATATCTATATATACCCTGTATACCCTGTATACCCTGTATACCCTGTATACCCTGTATACCTATGTATACCCTGTATACCCATGTATACCCTGTATACCCTGTATACCCTGTATACCTATGTATACCCTGTATACCCTGTATACCCTGTATACCCATGTATACCCTTGTATACCCTGTATACCCTGTATACCCATGTATACCCTGTATACCCATGTATACCATGTATACCTATGTATACCCTGTATACCCTGTATACCCTGTATACCCATGTATACCCTCTATACCCATGTATACCCTGAATACCTATGTATACCCTGTATACCCTGTATACCCTGTAT